TTTTTTTTTTTAGGATTTCCTGTGAGGAATTTAATTTTTTTTTAATTTAAATTCAATTACTTAACATATAGTGTATTACTAGTTTCAGAGGTAGAGGTCAGGGAATCATTAGTCCTATATAATCATTAGTCCTATATAATACCCAGTGCTCATTACATCACATGCCCTCCTTGACATCCATCACCCAGTTACCCCATCCCCCAGCCCTTTCCCCTCCAGCAACCTTCAATTTGTTTCCTATTAATAAGAGTCTCTTATGGTTGAACACAGCTGTTGGGAAGATGGCAAAGCAGGAGGACCCTGGCTCACCTCTTGACACATGGCCACCAAGAAACACCTACATTGGCATAAATAACCCAAAAAGCAACCCTTGCCAATTTGGATGCCTTTTCTTTTCATTGTTATCTGATTGCCAAGGCTGGGACTTCTGGTAATATGTTGAGCAACAGTGGTGATAGAAGACATTCCTGCAGTGTTCCTGACCTTACAGGAAAAGCTCTCAGTTTTTCCCCATTGAGAATGATATTCGCTGTGGGCTTTTTGTACATGGCTTTTATGATACTGAGGTATGTTCCCTTTATCCCTACATTGTGAAGCATTTTAATCAAGAAAGAATGCTGTACTTTGTCAAATGCTTTTGCTGCATCTATTGGGAGGATCATATGTTTCTTGTCCTTTTCTTCTTTCTTTTATTAATGTAGTGCATTACACTGATTGATTTGCAGATGGTGAATCACCCTTGAAGCTCAGGAATAAATCCCACTTGCTTATGTTAAATAATCCTTTTAATGTACTGTAGGGTCCTATTGGCTAGTATCTTGGTGAGAATTTTTGCATCCATGTTCCTCAGGGATATTGGTCTGTAGTTCTCCCTTTTGGTGGGGTCTTTGTCCAGTTTTGGGATCAAGGTAACACTGGCCTCACAGAAAGAGTCTGGAAGTTTCCTTCCATTTCTATTTTTTGAAACAGCTTCAAAAGAACAGGTATTAATTCTACAAAGTCGATTTCTAAGCAAACAATATTACCAGGGATAAAAAAGCCATTTCACAAGAGGGCATAACAAATCCAAATGTTTATATACTTAATAATACAACTTCAAATTATATGAAACAAAGACTAAAGTAATTTAAAAAGAAACAGACCAATCCAGAATTATAGTTGGAGGTTTCAGTACTCCTCTGTCAATATCTGATATCACAAGTAAACAGAAAACCAGCAAAGATATAGTAGACTTAAACATTATCAATCAAACTTATTTGATCAATGTTAACAGAATTACTCCACCGAACAACAGCTGAATATACCTTCTTCTCAAATTCACATAAAATGTTTAACAAAATAAGACTGTATTCAGGACCATAAAACAAGTCTCAATAAATTTAAACAGCTATTGCTAAAGCAGAGCTTGAAAATAAATGTACAACATCAAACATTTATATTAGAAAAGATAATATAAGGACAGAGACAGTACATAAAATGTCAAAAATCCCAAGACAACTACAGATCAATATCCACCATGAACACAGATGCAAAAATTCTGAATACAATTTCAGCAGATCAAATCCAACAATATTTTATAAAGACAATGTATCATGACCAAGTGGGTTTATACCAGGAATGCAAAGTTGGTTTAACATCCAAAAATCAATATAATTCATAAAAAAATTTTTTTAAAAAATGTATTTCATTATATTAAACTATAAGAGGAATACCACATGACCATTTCAGTAAATGCAAGAAAAGCATTTGACAAAATCCAAAACCTATTTCTTTTAAACTCTAAGCAAACAAGGAAGAAAAACAAACTTCCTCAATCTGATAAAAGCCATCTACAGAAATCTACAGTTAACATATTTAATGCTTTATCCCTAAGATCAGGAAAACAACAATGCATGGTCACCACTTATACTAAAATTTGTACTTGAGGTGCTAGCCAGTTGCAGTAAGGCAAGAAAGAGAAACAAAGGCACCCAGATTGTAAAGGAAGAAGTAAAAGTGCCTTATTCACAGATGACAGGCTCATCTACATACAAAAATCTCATGGAATTGAAAAACAACAACAACATAACCTACTAGAGCAAGTTTAGCAAGACAGCAAGATACATGAGGCAATAGAGTTCCAATCAAAATCTCAGCAAGTATTTTTGTGGAAATTAACAACTTGATATAAAATTCACATGGGAATGCTAAGTTCCAGTAATAGTCAAATGGGAGAACTATTTGGAGGATTAACACTATCTGATTTCAAGACATAAAGTCACAGTAAGCAAAACAGTAGTGTTTTGGCATTAAGATAGAAAACAGATCAATGGAATAGAATAAGTCTAGAAATAGGCCTACACATACAGTAACAACTAATTTTTGACCAAAGCTCAAAAGTACCTAAGTGAAGTAAAGGATAGGCTTTTCAACAAATGGTACATGATTAATTAAATATGTATATTCAAAAAATGAATTTTGATCTATACTTTGTTCCATATACAAAACTAACTCAAAATGGACCAGACCTAAACATAAAACTTAAAACTATAAAACTTCTGTAAGAAATTATGAGTCAAGCTGTGTGACCTTGAGTGTCCCAAAAGCGCAATCCATAAAAGAACAATTTCAAATTGGACTTCATCAAAATTTAAAACTTACATTCTTCAAAAGATACTATTTAAGAGAATGATAAGCTATAGATTGGGAAAAAAATATTTTAAAAGCATATATCTGATAAAAGCATATATCTGATAAAGAACCCATATCCTAAATATACAAAGAACTCTTAAAATACAATGATAAGAAAGCAAACAACAACAACAAAAGAAAGAAAGCAAATAACCTAATTTTTAATGGGCAAAAATTTCAAACAGAGAAGACACATCAATGGCAAATAAGCACATGAAAAGATGCTCAACACCATTAGAAATACAAATTAAAAATACAAGATACCAATAACTGTTAGAATGGCTAAGATTAAAGCCTAACCATACCAAGTATCAGCAAGGATGTAAACAAACTAAAAATTTCGTACACTGATGGTGGGAATGTGAGAAAAGTACAGGCCCTTCGGAAACCGTTTGACAGTTAAATGTGCACCTATCATATAAACCAGTCATTCCAAATCTAGGTATCTGCCCAGGAGAAATGAAGCATACATCTATGCCCAGGAGAAATGAAGCATACATACAAAGGCTTATATACATAAATAATGTTCACAGCATTTCATAACAAAAAGTGAATAAACATGATATATCCATACAATAGAATATTACTAAGCAATGAAAAAATGAACTATACATGGACACTACAACATGGATGAATCTCAAAATAATTACTCTGAGTAAAATACTCCATTTAAAAAAAGTACACACTATATTATTCCATTTCTATAAAATTCTAGAAAATACAAACTAATCTATAATAACTGAAAGCCGATTAATGGCTGCCTGGGGATGAGAAAGGAGATAGTGGATATGTTCATTTTCTTGAATTTGGTGATTTTGCAGATAAATACATATGTCAAAACCTGTCAAACTGCACACCTTAACTATGTGTACTTTATTATGTCAATTATATATGAAAAAAGCTGTTAGAAGTTGTCTCTGTGGGGCGCCTGGGTGGCTCAGTTGGTTAAGTGTCTGCCTTTGGCTCAAGTCATGATCCCAGAGTCTTGGGACTGAGCCCCACATTGGGGTCCCTGCTCAGTAGGGAATCTGCTTCTCCCTCTCCCTCTGTCTGTTGCTCCCCCTGTTGTGCTCTCTCTATTATTAGAAAAAAATAAGTAAAAAATCTTAAAAAAAAAAAAGAAGTAGTTGTCTCTGTTATTACCCTTAAAGCCAGTGGTAGTATATATCCTGACTGAACACAAAAGGGCTCTTCCAATAATTCTTTTGTAGCTGATGGCCAAAAGAGCTTCTGATAATAATATAGTGAAGGGCACACAGGATTCAGAGTATACATTCTCTGTGTATGTATGTGTATGTACATATATATATGTATATATGAAATAGAATAGTTGTTATATATATATATATATACATATAAAACAATATATGAAATAGAATAGTTGTTTAACGATATATGAAATAGAATAGTTGTTATATATATAACAACTATTCTATTTCATTCCCTTTAAGAGAGAAGGATACTTTGCCTTCCTTAAATAAATTAAGAGATTTCCCACTCTAAACCATAAATTAGGTACCTACCCTAAATTAAATTACTTTACAAAGTAACCAAAGGGGACTAGTTTGAGAGTTTAAATCAAAAATGCTAGTGTTGGGGCACCTGGGTGGCTCAGTGGGTTAAAGCCTCTACCTTCGGCTCAGGTCATGATCTCAGGGTCCTGGGGTCGAACCCCACATCGGGCTCTCTGCTCAGCCGGGAGCCTGCTTCCCTCTCTCTCTCTGCCTGTCTCTCTGCCTACTTGTGATCTCTCTCTCTCTCTGTCAAATAAATAAAATCTTTAAAAAAAAAAAAAAGGTTAAAAAAAAAAATGGTAGTGTTAGGGGCACCTGGGTAGCTCAGTCAGTTAAGCATCTATTTGCCTTCAGCCAAGGTCATGATTCCAGGGTCCTAGGATCAAGCCCCGTGTCTCATCAGGCCCCCTGCTCAGCAGGCAGTCTGCTTCTCTCTCTTCCTCTGTCCTTCCCGCTCCCACTCCCCCGGATTATGCTCTCTCAAATAAATAAAGTCTAAAAAACAGAAAAGAAATGGTAGTTTTATTGCCTTAAAAAAATTACAAAATTCAGAAACAATTTAGGGAATTTTCCATCTTAAGAAAAATCTCTAAAGCTATCTGAGCCAGAAGAAAATTTTAGTACAACTTTAGTTTTAGGACCAACTCCTCCAAAAAAGACTTGAATACTTCTGTTATGTAATTTTCATAAACAAGGAGCCAAAGACTAGAAAATAAACACTCAATATGAGTACATTTTGATTATGGCATATATATATAAATGGATGGTTGAGCTCATATAACTGCAAAGGAATAAAAGCCAAGCAACTTCACTCACCTATTTTGTTCCTCCAGTTTAGCCAGGAGTTCTAAGTCGTCTGGACTCAACTGTGAAGGGGAAGTTGGTGAAAGGGCTGGTGTAGATAGTGTGGTAGATGAGGATGTAGTGTGTAATGAGGCAGATGGACTTGCCACCTGACTGGCCATCTGACTGACTGTATGTGATACTGTGTTCTTCACCCATGAGAGAGTAGAACTCAGCTTTTCTGCAACCTTGTCTGTCGCCACCTATGGATAAAAATGACAGTTGAACATATTTTAGTTTTATTGCATTCATTAGCAAGAACATGATAACCCTGTTAAGTTTTACTTAATAATGACCACCACAATATTTTCTTTGAGGTGATAAAGGTAAAACCTACTTTAGCAACAATTATCCTAACACCTGGCTTTTTTGGAAAATATTTCAGTTCTGTAACATGAACAAACTAGAACAGTGTTTTCCAAACTACAGGAAAAATCCATCAGGGAGTAATAAAATCAATATGACAGGTAACACCCGCATTTTTAAAAATGAAAAAGAACATAAAATATCAGTGATACATTGCCTTGTGAAATTGTTGTTAGCTTACATATATGTATTAAAACTATGTACTACCTGTACATATATTTATGGGTATATTTAGTTGGGATGTAAAATGTATTCTTTAGTCAAAAACATTTAAAAGCAAAGGAATTAAAACATGTCCACTGGGTGAGGAGGATGGGGAAATGCTGTAACATGACCAATAAGTCAACAAAAACTGGGGTTGCTTAGCCTAAATAAGATGTAAGGAGAGCGGTGGTACCTGTCTCCAAACAGCCTAAGAGTATTTTTGTAGAAAAGGGACTCTTTCTAGAGGAACAAAATTATGATAAATGGTTGAGTGAGCAGAGTGGGAGAGATGCAAGACACAATTTTCACACAGAACTATTCTGAAATAGAATGGGATGCCTATGAAGAGTAGACATCCCCACCGATGGCTATAATAAAGCAGCTATTATAAGAACCGAATGTCGGAAGCTCAAGATAACTTTCTGTTTTAAATGGGCAACCAGAATTTTAAAAACACTTAAGATCCCTATTTCTAAGATTAACTGAATTACACATATGTCCATAAAGTTACCATAAATTATGCCCATCTCCTAAGCAGATATGTATACAAACATGTATACAAATACAGCTGAAAAACAAAATATACATAAATAATATCTGAACATGGCATTATCACTTCACTAATAAAAAAATAATAGCCATATTTGAATACCTATATAAAACTAAACATTCTTTTTTTTTTTTTTTTTTAAGATTTTATTTATTTATTTGATAGAGATCACAAGTAGGCAGAGGCAGGCAGAGAGAGAGGAGGAAGCACGCTCCCTGATGAGCAAAGAGCTGGATGTGGGGCTCGATCCCAGGACCCTGGGATCATGACCTGAGCTGAAGGCAGAGGCTTTAACCCACTGAGCCACCCAGGTGCCCCAAAACTAAACATTCTTAAAATGAGTTTACAAAATAAGGTGTTAAGAGGCTTTTTAAGGGATTGTATTTTCTTTTTTTTTTTTTTTTTTTAAAGATTTTATTTATTCATTTACAGAGAGAGATCACAAGCAGGCAGAGAGGCAGGCATAGAGAGAGAGGGAGAAGCAGGCTCCCTGCCGAGCAGAGAGCCCGATGCGGGGCTTGATCCCAGGACCCTGAGATCATGACCTGAGCCGAAGGCAGTGGCTTAACCCACTGAGCCACCCAGGCGCCCCGGGACTGTATTTTCTAAAAACTATCACGAAAAGGGCTCCTTGATTGTGAAGTACTTAGATATTTAAAGCTAAAAACTTTGACATGCTTTCATATGCTTTGAGAAGATCTTAAATTTTATGTCATAGGTAAATGGCTAAAGCACTGCAAATTATTTTCGGATTCAGCAGTCTCAGCTAATCTTAATTATATATAGCAATTCATACACACAGAAATTAAAATACCAAGGCATATAATCCCCACTGAGACAATTTTAGCTATCAATATTCTCCTCATGGGTTGCCCAAAGCTTTTTTCCTCACCTCAATACACACATGACTCTCTATCCCTCTGTCCCCCACTTCCTCCCCTCAAACCAGCAGGATACTTTGATGTAAGGAAAGGATAAAATGGAAAAGGGATTCTAAGGTCAAAGTTAAGCAACTCAATATGAGGCTGGAACTTAAACAAAAATTTGATTACAAGTGCTGAAAGGGCCAGAAGTTTTGTTTTTTTTTTGGTTTTGTTTTTTTTTTAAAGATTTTATTTATTTGTCAGAGAGAGAGAGAGGGAGAGAGAGCAAGCACAGGCAGACAGAATGGCAGGCAGAGGCAGAGGGAGAAGCAGGCTCCCCAATGAGCAAGGAGCCCGATACGGGACTCGATCCCAGGACGCTGGGATCATGACCCGAGCCGAAGGCAGCTGCTTAACCAACTGAGCCACCCAGGCGTCCCTAGAAGTTTTATTAACCTTAGAATACCTCTCATTTTCAGGAACACATTTTAGAATTTACTTCTCTTGGAAACAGTATTATAGAAGGGACAAGGGGACTCTTACTGTTGAGGGAAGAATCCCCAAGAAAGACAAGCAGGATACAGCATGGGGCCCAAGGAAAAGGAGAAATGGGCAGATCATTTAGGCTTCCAGGCAAAAGAAATCCTCACCAATGCAGAGAGCAGCAGCACAGCTCCTCAGGGCAAAAAGCCAGACAGGAACCAAAGAAAGGAGCCATGGTATCCACAAGATAGCCTATTGTGATTTGTTACCCTATTGATCTTTTCTACATAATTACAGCCACAAATTCAATTATCAGGATTGCACTAATTTGCATCCCTGAATCACAGTAAACAGAATACCTAACACATAAATTTACAGAAAAATGTTACCCCTTATTAATACCAACCATTAATTTCAAATATGCTTACAACTTTTAAAAATTAATATTTCATATTTCCATTATATACAAGTTCTCTACTAGAATTAACTGTAGGAAAGGCAAAAGTTTCCTACTTTGCTTTCGTTTCTTAAAACAAATAAATTTATCATACCCCTTCTGCACACTGTAGAAACAGGCTTCCATTTAAAGAGTCTGGAATAATGAAGAGCTCGATCCTGACATCCTTTCAACTTTGCTGAAATTCAGCTGATATGAGATTCAATCTAGAACTACTGAAGGCTCAGTAACTCATCTTCATATGTTAAATACTGAAATATAACCAAAGTATTTCATTGCAGTTGCATTTTAATAAAGTTTAATACACATGGTTCTAGAAATCCCACAGGACTGATTCATTTTTCATATACCATCATGTTCTATTTTTCCTTTAACTCTACAGTACTTTTCCAAATCTTCACCCTGTCACCTCTAAATCTCCTATGGTAAACTGAGGGCATGAAGACATAGTAAATCTGACAGTGCCATTACATCACAAAGTTCCTGTCTACCTCATAGAGAGGTTATGCATTTATTTTTAAATATGAACATATTTTGGAAAGGTTGAAACTATCATTAAAAATGCTTAGTAATCAGGCACAAATGACCACATATTGCAGGGCTCCATATACATAAAATGTCCAGAATAGGCAAATCCAGAAACAGAAAGTAGATCAGTGGCTTCAAGGGCCCTGGGGAAAGACTGCTAATGTGCATGGGATTTCTTTTTGGAGTGACAAAAACGTTCTGGGATTGGACTGTGGTCATGGTTACACAACCTTGTAAATAGACTAAATGCCACTGAACTGCACACTTTAAGTGAATGGATGGATTTATGGTATGTGAATTATTATCTCAGTTGTAAAAGGGCTTAGTCAATCTCAGGAAACTTGATATATATTATTCCAACGATACAAAAAAGGCAAAACAATGGAGACAGTAAAAAGATCAGTAGTTGCTAGGAGTTGGGAATAGGAGAGAGATGAACGGACAGAGCACAGAGGATTTTTAGGATAGTAAAAACAGTCAGTGTAATACCATCATGATGGATATGTGTCATTACACATTTGACCAAATCCATACAATGCACAACAAACACTAAGAGTGAACACTAATGTAAAGTAAGGATTTTGGGTGATTATGATGTGTCAATGTAGGTACATCACTGATAACACACGTACCACTCTGGTGGAGAAGGCGTGTTGGGGGGGCCGGGAGTATATGGGAAATCCCTGTACTTTCCATTCAATCTTGTTATGAATCTAAAACTGTTCTAAAAAAGCAAAATCTTAATAAAATAATAAAGTTTAGTAGAAATCTTAGATATCACTACAATATTTTAATAGGATCTCCAATGAAAAACAATCATGGTTCCTCTATTGCTTTGTATTTTAAGTTATACGGATGCTCTTAACTCCCAAAAATGACTATCTTTATTTCTTTCCTAATTTTTAATTTTTATTTTAATTCCAGTGTAGTTATCACAGAGTGATATATTAGTTTCAGGTGCATTATAGTGGCTTAACAATTCTGTATATTAGTGCTTATCAAGACAAGTATACTCTTATTAATCACCTTTACCTATTTCACCCACCCCTCAACTACCTCCCCTCTGGTAACTATCAGTTTGTTCTCTACAGTTAAAGAGTCTGTTTTGGGGGGTTGCCTGGCTGGTTCACTCAGTAGAGCATATAACACTCAATCTCAGGGTCCTGAGTTCAGGCCCCATGTTGGGCACAGAGCCCTAATTAAAGGTCTGTTTTTTGTTTTGTCTCCCTTTTTCCCTCTGTTCATTTGTTTCTTAAATTCCACATATGAGTAAAATCATAGGCTACTTGTCCTTCTCGGACTTATTTCACTTAGCATTATATTCTCTAGCTCCATCCATGTTGTTGCAAATGGCAAGTCTTCCTTTTATGGCTGATAATATTATATATATCCTATATAGTGAATATATAGGATATATATAACCTATATAATGTGTATATATATGATATATGTGTGTATAATATAATTATATATATATATATGAGAGATACCATATATATGATATATCTCACCTCTACTTTATCCATTTATCTATCAATGGACACTTGGGCTGCTTCCATAATTTGGCTACTGTAAATAATGCTGCAATCAATATAAGGATGCATATATCCTTTTTGGTTAGTGTTTTCATATTCTTTGAGTAAATACCCATTAATGCGATTACTGCAGCATATGGGAATTCTATTTTTAATTTTTGGAGGAAACTCCATACAGTTTTCCACTGTGGCTATGACAGTTTGCATTCCCATCCACCCTGCAAAAGGACTCCTTTTTCTCCACATCCTTGCTAACACTTGTTTCTTGTGTTTTTGATGTTAGCCATTGTTAGGTATGAGGTGGTTCTGATCTGCATTATGATCTCATTGTGGTTTTGATCTGCATTTCCCTGATGATGGGTGATGTTGAGGACCTTTCAATCTGTCTGCTAGCCATCTGTATGCCTTCCTTGGAGAAATGTCTTTTCATGTCTTCCACTCATTTTTAATTGTATTACAGGTTATTTGTGTGCTAGTTTGTGTAAGTTCTTTATATATTTTGGATACTAACCCTTTATTGGATAGGTCATTTGCAAATACCTTCTCCCATTCTGTCAGTTGTCTTTAAGTCTTGTTGACTGGATCCTTTGCAGTGCAGAAGTTTTTATTTTTATATATTTCCAATAGCTTATTCTTGCTTTTGCTTCCCTTGCCTCAGGAGACAGACATATCTAGAAAAATATTGCTATGGCCAATGTCAGAGAAGTTACTGCCTGCGCTCTCTCCTAGGATTTTTATGGTTTTAGGTCTCCCATTTAGATCCTTAATTCTATTTTTGTGTGTGGTGTAAGAAAGCGGTCCAGTTTCATTCTTTTCCATGTAGCTGTCCAGTTTCCCCAACATTATTTGCTGAAGAGACTGTCTTTTTCTCATTACATATTCTTGCGTCCTTTATCAAGGATTAATTGACCACATAATCATGGGTTTATTTCTGGGCTCTTCATTCTGTTCCATTGTTCTGTGTGACTGCATTTTATGCCAACACCATATTATTTTGATTACTGTAACTTTGTAGTGTATCTTGAAATTTGGGATTGTGACACATCTAGCTTTTCTTTTTCAAGATTGCTGTGGCTATTTGGTTTCTTTTGTGGTTCCAAATTTTAATATTGTTTATTCTAGTTCTGTGAAAAATGCTGTTGGTATCCTGATAGAGATTGCAAATATCTAGATCGCTTTGGGTAATATGGACATTTATCGGTATCTTCCAATTCATGAGTATGGAATGCCTTTCCATTTGTTTATCTCATCTTTAATTTCTTTCATCGATATTTTATAGTTCTCAGGGTACAGGTCATTCACCTCCTTGGTTAAATTTATTCCTAAGCATTTTATTATTATTGGTACAATTACAGGTGGGATTGTTTTCCTAATTTCTCTTTCTGCTGCTTCATTATTTGTGTATAGAAATGCAAAGGATTTCTGAATATTGATCTTGTTGTATCCTGCAGCCTTATGGAATTCCTTCAACAGTTCTAGTAGTTTTTTGGTGGAGTCTTTAGGGTTTTCTATATATAGTATCATGTCTTCTACAAATAGTGACAGTTTTACTTCTTCCTTACCAATGTGAATGCCTTTCATTCCCTTCTTCATGTCTGATGCTGCAGCTACAACTTCCAGTACTATGCTGAATCAAAGTGCTGAGAGTGGGGGTGCCTGGCTGGCTCAGGCCATAGAGCATGCAACTCTTTAACTCAGGGTTGTGAGTTCAAGCCCCACATTGGTTCTGTTCAAACTTTCTATTTCTTCCTGATTCAGTTTTGAGAAGTTGTAGGTTTCTAGAAATTTATCCATTTCTTCTAGGTTGTCCAATATGTTGGCATATAATTTTTCATAACACTCCCTTATGATCCTTTCTATTTCTGTGATATTGGTTATTTCTCCTCTTTCATTCCTGATTTTTTTTATGAGTCTAGCTAAAGGCTTATAAATTTTGTTGATCTTTTCAAAGAACCAGCTCCTGGTTTCATTGATCTGTTCTACTGTTTTGTTTTTTTTTTAATCCATTCCATCACCCTGTATCTTTTGATTGGAGCATTAAGTCCATTTACATTCAGAGTAATTATTGATAGTTATGTATATTTATTGCCATTTTGTTGTTTGCTTCACGGTTGTTTTCTGTAGTTCTTCTCTGTTCCTCTCTTCCCTTACTCTCTTCTCTCATGATCAGTTGGCTTTCTTTAATGATATACTTGGGTTCCTTTCTCTTCTTTTTTCCATACCTATAACTGGTTTTTAATTTGTGAATACCAGTTTGAATATAACATCTTCTGCATATAGTGGTCTATATTAAGTTGGTGATCACTTAAGTTTGAACCCATTCTTTACTCTTCTCCTTCCCAACCCCCACCATGTTTTAGGTATATGGTGTCATACTGTATATCCTTTTATTTTGTAAATCCTTTACTGGTTTTTATAGACATACTTATTTTTACTGCTTTTCTGCTTCCTCCTTTTCTTACTCTTACTTATGGTCTTTCCTTCCCACTCAAAGAGTCCCATTTAACATTTCTTGTAGAACTGGTTTAGTGATCAGGAACCCCTTAGTTTTTGTTTGCCTGGGAAACTCTTGATTTCTCCTTCTATTTCGAATGATAGCCTTGCTGGATAGAGTGTTTTTGGCTGCAGATTTTCTCCTTTCAGCACTTTGAATATATCATGCCACTTCCATCGGCCCTGCAAAGTTTTTCCTGAAAAATCCACTGATAGTATTATGGGGTTTCCCTTGTATGTAACTGTTTTCTTTTGCAAATTTTAGAACTATCACTATTTTTTTGCCATTTTAAATATGTGTCTTGGTTTGGACCTCCTTGGATTGATTTTTGACTGTCTCAATTAATAATATATATCAAAAATGATTACTGAAACTTACTCTTGGAACCCAGACACCAAGCTGTTTAGAAACCTAAACTGGCCCACACAGGGACCACATGGAGAGGTCAAGTACAGGCAGTCTGGCTAATAGCCCAGCTGGGGTCCCAGCATCAACCACTGGACAGGAATGTGAATATACCATCAAATGATTCCAGACCCTAGATGAAGAATCAACCCCAGCCTCTGAGTCCTCTCAGCTTCTCTGCTTCACAGGCATTTTTGAAGCAGAGAAAAGCCCTTCTCCTAATGCTCTGTCCAAATTCCTGACCTGCAGAATCCACGGAATACTAAAGCAATTATTTTAAGCTATTAAGTTTTATGGTGGTTTGGTATACAGCTACAGTACCTGGAACAATATCATACTATCTCACAAAATTAAAATATTTAACAGTACTTGAAATGAAATGAAACCAGGAAATTAAAGTATAATTAGCAAAGACACCATTCTGAACTTTTTGAGGGGATCAAGGGCTCAGATGGTTGA